GCCTTTTGCCACTCTTTCCTCGTGTCACACATCGCATCTTCCTGTGCTTGTAGCTTTATCGATGCGTATGTGAATTCCGAGGAGTCTCCAGTGCGTTAGTGCCCAAGTAAGATTACATTGTCATGTAACTTTTTAACGTAGGCTCTGACTGGATGCTCTTTGTCGCCTCGATTCCTTCAGCTCGATGATTTCGTCCCGAGGCAGGTTAAGCTTACCATGTGCTTTTCTCCTACCTCTTCACATTTCGTTTCCATCGACTCAACTCTTTTACAGCACCATGAGTTCAGCACTGCACTGAACGATACTGCTTGTTGGTCCTTTCTTCTTGCACCAACATTCTCGGGCTTCATGACCTTTCTTTCCGCAGTTCGAACAGTTTGCTTCCCTTGTGCTCCTTTGCAATGTGCGTTCACCAGATTTCTTCGCATCCTTGCTTCTCTGGAGCTGATGCCCTGGCATCTCCTGTTACGCGTGGTGGTTGCTCTTTAGCTTTGAATTCCCACTTGCGTTTGAGAGATTTTTCCATCTGTGTGTGTGCCCGCAATCGTTCCACTCTCAGGAGCGGTCTCCTTTCATTTTTTCGTACACCTGGAGTACCGCGTTCAGTTTCGAGGATCTCCAGGAGTTGTACCGCCTCCGCCCAATGACTCAACTGTTCTTGCAAAATCTCTGCACGGATTAGCGACAGTGTATTGTCATCGGCATTTGGATGCGCATTTCTGGATAGCACTTCAAGTTCTAGGCAGAACTCTAGAACAGAGCGATCCCCTTTTTTAAGTGTTCGGAAGCTTTCTCATGGCGCTTGCCTGCTCTTCTGGGCCATCTATTTTTAGTCTTCGCTTCATTGCTTCTATTAGTACTTTCAAAGACCCCATTTTTAACCTCTTCTGGTAAGGGTGTTGTAATGCATTTTAGCCTCTCCTTCCAAAAGGCCTACAAAAATGTCGCGCCTTTCACTGTCGCGCCATGTTGTTTCCGGGTATTTCAAACCGAATTGCCTCAGGAAGTCTTTGAATTTTTCACCTTTCTTGTTACTAAAAGGTTTAACATTAGGCATGGCAGCTGCTCTCATATATTCATTCACAAGGCGTGCTGTACTCAAACTACTTACTACCGAGCTTTCAGAGTTTTCACTGCTTGAGCTAGTTTTACGTGAACGATGAGACTGACCTTGCTGCCCACTGCACGAACAGTCCATCCTTTTTGATGTCGTCATGAGCGGCGTCAGCTGAATACATTCTGTATTAGCATTGACATTTGCACGTTGCTCATTGAACTCACTTTCCATAGGCTCGATGCCCGCGAGTAGCCTTTGCCTCCTCTCGAAAAGTTTTCTTCGTTCTGACGACTTGGCACGCAGCAGTTCTCCCTGCAACATTTCGATCTTTTCGCTTTGATCGATAGAATGTTGTACTATTTCTTTGACATCGCAGTCATACAAACTGCATAAAAGCTCAACTACTTCTTTGCTTTCCTTATCCGCTGCCCGATATTTTTTGCGCCAGTGTTTTCACAATGTTCAACTGCAGTTCTACAAGTTGAACTTGTTCGCTCATGGCAGTATACACCTTTTCTCGCACTTCGCTATTTGGATCGAAATGCTGTGCTGAGAGT